GAACATGCCATGCGTTTCCCCTTTGTTGGGAGTGCGATGTTATTGTCACTGTTCTTACTCTTCAAGTTTCTATCAAAGGACCTTGTGAACACTGTATTGACAGGCTACTTCTTTGTACTTGGGATTGTTGCGCTTTCGTAAGTTCTTTTCCTCACGTTGGATGTCCTTGTCATAGTATCGATAAAATCTTATTGTTATAATTTTTTGTATTTTATTAAACACTTTGTTTTCCACTGTCTACAGGGCAACATTATTACCGTTTATTAAACGTTTTCTGCCAAAGCATTGGAATGAGGACGTCATAGTCTGGCGATTTCCATATTTCCGATGTATGTGACTCCCTGGCTACTGTATTTTTCTTATTGTTGGTGATAGTATGTTTTTCTCTGAACTGCGGTGCATCTAGTTCCAAATTCCAATTAATGCGGCCTCTGGGCACTTGTACTCGTTGTGATGTGCCCAATGAAATATGAAAAATGCTCGAGGCCTTTATTTATTGACAATTCATTTATTTTTTCTTTTTAAATAAATTTAGTTTTAACATGATTTTGAACTATTTTCTAGAGAAGGCATTATAAATTCAACCCTTTAGACAAAATAAAGGTAAATGCATGCATACCCCATGGACCCATATGGCTTGTCACAATTATCAAAAGGGGAGTCATTTTCGGGTTATTGTGAACTGTTGACTTAATTTTTAAGTTCTGTTGATCAACTATAATCACCAATGTCTTTGGCTATTTATTATGCTTTACTATCTATGTTGTTGGCTTTTTAGTTCTTTATTTATTATCATTAGACGATTATCCTCATGATTTGCATTGTATGTGTTGTTAGTTATAGTTACTTGATCAAGTTGAGATTAATCCTCCTCTATCACGCATAATATATATTTTTCTGCTTACATTTTTCTTATTCAGCTGTGGAGATTGAGTTTACAAGGTCACAGGTCGTTGCTGGCATCCCTGGGACATTCTTTTGTGCTTGGTATGCTTTGCGGAAGCATTGGCTGGCAAATAATATATTGGGTCTTGCTTTCTGTATTCAGGTCTGTCAATTTTCTATATATAAATTGTCCTATCAACTATTTTTTATGATAAAGTTTCATCATCAATTTATTATATATTTATATAAAATTTGTGGTACCCACTTTTTGTGGTTTGAACTAATAATTTTTGTGAATTTTGATAAATAAATTAAATCATTCTATCATTTATGCTATCAATGTGTAGAATTATGAATCAGTTTTTTATTACTAGAATTTACACCAATGTACATTTTATCACTTGCAGGGAATTGAAATGCTTTCTCTTGGGTCTTTCAAGACTGGTGCTATTCTCTTGGTAGGTGTTTTCTTTCTTTTGTAATTAATGGTGCTCAAAGCGTTTATCTAAGAAGACATGTATACCAACAATAATTTTTCTGTGGATAAACCAGATCATATGTCTGTGTCGTTCAAACATTTACTCTTTTTTATTGTAATAAAATACAATTAAAAGGCCTGTGGATTTTGACTTACTCTATCATCTGATTCATTCAGATTCTTTTTTACCCTTTTAATCGAATACAAGCTCATAAAATGCATGAGAAAATTATATTTATTCCCTACAGATATGATAATTTAGTCTTATTTTCCAAAAGATAGAAGATTTTTTTGTTGTACAATTTTTTGTTTTAAATATGGTCGTTGACTTTCTTACATTCTTGTATTTTACAGGCTGGTCTATTTGTATATGACATATTCTGGGTTTTCTTCACTCCAGTAATGGTCAGCGTTGCAAAATCATTTGATGCTCCAATAAAGGTTAAAACTTTAGCTAAATGAAATGGAAATTTCTCTTTTGAACCTTTTTTTAATATTGTGTATTTACTTGGATATTAGATGGAAATTGTAATAAATTTCTTCCTAATATTGTCATTCAAATGATTTTGCAGCTTTTGTTCCCCACAGCAGATGCTGTAAGGCCATTTTCAATGCTTGGTCTTGGTGATATTGTTATCCCTGGTAGGATGACTCTTCATTTATGTATTGATATATTTATTTTGTGACGTTGCTCTGTAATAATACAGTTCAGCTTTTAATTTGTATCTTGTACTAGATTTTGTTAACCTATGCTTAGAAGATTTTGCGAAAATGGTATGAAAAAGATGAGGGAGTAAATGGAAAGTAATCTGCATTTCACTTTGCTGTCATGTAGTAATCCAAGTGAATTATTTTAATATACTTTTCTATTTTTGGAGGAGCAAGATTGAGAGTTTGAGGGGTAGCTCTTTCAGATTTTGTCATCCCCTACACAAATTTTTAAGGTCCCTTATGAGGAGACTTGAAGCTAAATTTCAAAATAAAAAACTCTTGTGGTCCCACTCCCCTGTCATATCAATGGTCTTTTTGGCGTTCTAGTTTAGTGACATTGTTCTGACCCTTATTTTTCCCATTATTATGAATAATTGCTTTGTTGGTCTAAACTCTTAACTTTGTTGAGTTTACTTAACTGATTAAACTTGGTGACTGTATTTTAAAGAGTGATTTTTTACATATTTGTTGCATTCATAAATCCAAATACTATATTTAAATGGTAAGTCACATATATTAGATGGAACTTCATGTTTTTTCTTGTTATTAGTTTACATTACAACTTTGAGTTAGAGTGATAAATAAATTTTATCCCTACCTGTATATCTTTGACAATAATGAAGGAAAAGTTTCTCTCTAGTAATTTTGTTGTTTGTTACTTCAATTTATTTTGACTACGTATTTTTTTGCTTCAGGTATTTTTGTAGCATTGGCTTTGCGGTTTGATGTATCCAGAGGAAAACAGCCCCAATATTTCAAGAGTGCATTTTTAGGATACACTGTTGGCTTGGTCCTTACAATTGTTGTGATGAACTGGTTTCAGGCTGCACAGGTAACTGATCTGTTTCATGTATTTTTTTTGTAGCTTTTGGGAATGTGTGTGGGGTTGTAGTCACTAATCATTAACGCCAAATAATATTCTAAATTTCTAATACATTATGTCTGGCTGAACTTGTGGTATAATCATGGACTTTTGGTGATCAAACTTCTAAACTAATTTTTGCCCTTGATTGTATTCCTTTTGCCAGCCTGCTCTTTTGTATATTGTACCTTCTGTAATTGGATTCTTGGCTGCTCATTGCATATGGAATGGTGATGTCAAACAGGTTTGTTTCTTTGCTTATATTTTTTGTTTCTTCATTCTCATATCAATGTTAGTCCATCCTTTTTTATGTTTCTAGTGTTCTTTCAATATTAGTTTCGCTGGAGTATAACTTACTTAGTTTGTATTAAATACTATGTATAATGAAAATATGCAAATTTGATTTATCACGTTTTGAACCCTATCAATGAAACCATAGGATGACCATCATTAATATTGCTTTAAAACTTTGAACAATTTTTTATTAGGAGTCGTGAAAGAGTCACTAATATTGTTGGGAATTTAGTNATTGGAGGTTGCCCTCTTTCCTTTCTTTTTTTAAGATTGATCTACGATTTTGTTTGTTGTTTTTCAATTTTTGTGATTTGTGCTGTTTTTTAATCGCAGTGGAGGCCATTCTGGCAACGTGAGTTCATTAGATCCAAAATTGTTCAGAAAAGAGGTTAAGGAGGATGAAGAAAACCGAACGAATTGCGAATTTGGCTTTGACAGGTTTGTTTCTCCTGTTTCATGCTTCAGTTGATACTCTTATTGAGCAACCTTCGAGTTGCTGTGTGATTCATGACGAGCTTTTTTGGCATTCTGGCATAATGTAGTTGCTGTACGATTCATTCTCAAATGAATTGAATTGAATTTTGATTCTGTATTCTAAAATTTTAGGGTATCGAATTTTGGCAGCTGGGCTTTGTTTGGTTTAATAATACTTGTTTGTTTATTAATAATCTTAATAATGTCAATGCGTGAGTGATAGAAGGAGAGTGAGTCTCTTTTTGTTCCTCAATTTCTCAATATTATTGCCATTTTATTTGTAACCACAGGTTTATCCTTAGCACCGCTTGTTGTGAAAGTAGATCCGAATTTAAATGTTATTTTGACTGCTTGTCTCACCGTGTTCGTGGGATGTTACCGCTCTGTCAAACCAACACCACCAACTGTGAGTAGTTAATCTGCTTATTCCCTTCTTTATATTGTGTTCTTTGGTGGTTAATCTGATTTCTGTTGCAAATAATTTTACAGGAGACAATGTCGAATGAACATGCCATGCGTTTCCCCTTTGTTGGGAGTGCGATGTTATTGTCACTGTTCTTACTCTTCAAGTTTCTATCAAAGGACCTTGTGAACACTGTATTGACAGGCTACTTCTTTGTACTTGGGATTGTTGCGCTTTCGTAAGTTCTTTTCCTCACGTTGGATGTCCTTGTCATAGTATCGATAAAATCTTATTGTTATAATTTTTTGTATTTTATTAAACACTTTGTTTTCCACTGTCTACAGGGCAACATTATTACCGTTTATTAAACGTTTTCTGCCAAAGCATTGGAATGAGGACGTCATAGTCTGGCGATTTCCATATTTCCGATGTATGTGACTCCCTGGCTACTGTATTTTTCTTATTGTTGGTGATAGTATGTTTTTCTCTGAACTGCGGTGCATCTAGTTCCAAATTCCAATTAATGCGGCCTCTGGGCACTTGTACTCGTTGTGATGTGCCCAATGAAATATGAAAAATGCTCGAGGCCTTTATTTATTGACAATTCATTTATTTTTTCTTTTAAAATAAATTTAGTTTTAACATGATTTTGAACTATTTTCTAGAGAAGGCATTAAAAATTCAACCCTTTAGACAAAATAAAGGTAAATGCATGCATACCCCATGGACCCATATGGCTTGTCACAATTATCAAAAGGGGAGTCATTTTCGGGTTATTGTGAACTGTTGACTTAATTTTTAAGTTCTGTTGATCAACTATAATCACCAATGTCTTTGGCTATTTATTATGCTTTACTATCTATGTTGTTGGCTTTTTAGTTCTTTATTTATTATCATTAGACGATTATCCTCATGATTTGCATTGTATGTGTTGTTAGTTATAGTTACTTGATCAAGTTGAGATTAATCCTCCTCTATCACGCATAATATATATTTTTCTGCTTACACTTTTCTTATACAGCTGTGGAGATTGAGTTTACAAGGTCACAGGTCGTTGCTGGCATCCCTGGGACATTCTTTTGTGCTTGGTATGCTTTGCGGAAGCATTGGCTGGCAAATAATATATTGGGTCTTGCTTTCTGTATTCAGGTCTGTCAATTTTCTATATATAAATTGTCCTATCAACTATTTTTTATGATAAAGTTTCATCATCAATTTATTATATATTTATATAAAATTTGTGGTACCCACTTTTTGTGGTTTGAACTAATAATTTTTGTGAATTTTGATAAATAAATTAAATCATTCTATCATTTATGCTATCAATGTGTAGAATTATGAATCAGTTTTTTATTACTAGAATTTACACCAATGTACATTTTATCACTTGCAGGGAATTGAAATGCTTTCTCTTGGGTCTTTCAAGACTGGTGCTATTCTCTTGGTAGGTGTTTTCTTTCTTTTGTAATTAATGGTGCTCAAAGCGTTTATCTAAGAAGACATGTATACCAACAATAATTTTTCTGTGGATAAACCAGATCATATGTCTGTGTCGTTCAAACATTTACTCTTTTTTATTGTAATAAAATACAATTAAAAGGCCTGTGGATTTTGACTTACTCTATCATCTGATTCATTCAGATTCTTTTTTACCCTTTTAATCGAATACAAGCTCATAAAATGCATGAGAAAATTATATTTATTCCCTACAGATATGATAATTTAGTCTTATTTTCCAAAAGATAGAAGACTTTTTTGTTGTACAAATTTTTGTTTTAAATATGGTCGTTGACTTTCTTACATTCTTGTATTTTACAGGCTGGTCTATTTGTATATGACATATTCTGGGTTTTCTTCACTCCAGTAATGGTCAGCGTTGCAAAATCATTTGATGCTCCAATAAAGGTTAAAACTTTAGCTAAATGAAATGGAAATTTCTCTTTTGAACCTTTTTTTAATATTGTGTATTTACTTGGATATTAGATGGAAATTGTAATAAATTTCTTCCTAATATTGTCATTCAAATGATTTTGCAGCTTTTGTTCCCCACAGCAGATGCTGTAAGGCCATTTTCAATGCTTGGTCTTGGTGATATTGTTATCCCTGGTAGGATGACTCTTCATTTATGTATTGATATATTTATTTTGCGACGTTGCTCTGTAATAATACAGTTCAGCTTTTAATTTGTATCTTGTACCAGATTTTGTTAACCTATGCTTAGAAGATTTTGCGAAAATGGTATGAAAAAGATGAGGGAGTAAATGGAAAGTAATCTGCATTTCACTTTGCTGTCATGTAGTAATCCAAGTGAATTATTTTAATATACTTTTCTATTTTTGGAGGAGCAAGACTGAGAGTTTGAGGGGTAGCTCTTTCAGATTTTGTCATCCCCTACACAAATTTTTAAGGTCCCTTATGAGGAGACTTGAAGCTAAATTTCAAAATAAAAAACTCTTGTGGTCCCACTCCCCTGTCATATCAATGGTCTTTTTGGCGTTCTAGTTTAGTGACATTGTTCTGACCCTTATTTTTCCCATTATTATGAATAATTGCTTTGTTGGTCTAAACTCTTAACTTTGTTGAGTTTACTTAACTGATTAAACTTGGTGACTGTATTTTAAAGAGTGATTTTTTACATATTTGTTGCATTCATAAATCCAAATACTATATTTAAATGGTAAGTCACATACATTAGATGGAACTTCATGTTTTTTCTTGTTATTAGTTTACATTACAACTTTGAGTTAGAGTGATAAATAAATTTTATCCCTACCTGTATATCTTTGACAATAATGAAGGAAAAGTTTCTCTCTAGTAATTTTGTTGTTTGTTACTTCAATTTATTTTGACTACGTATTTTTTTGCTTCAGGTATTTTTGTAGCATTGGCTTTGCGGTTTGATGTATCCAGAGGAAAACAGCCCCAATATTTCAAGAGTGCATTTTTAGGATACACTGTTGGCTTGGTCCTTACAATTGTTGTGATGAACTGGTTTCAGGCTGCACAGGTAACTGATCTGTTTCATGTATTTTTTTTGTAGCTTTGGGGAATGTGTGTGGGGTTGTAGTCACTAATCATTAACGCCAAATAATATTCTAAATTTCTAATACATTATGGCTGGCTGAACTTGTGGTATAATCATGGACTTTTGGTGATCAAACTTCTAAACTAATTTTTGCCCTTGATTGTATTCCTTTTGCCAGCCTGCTCTTTTGTATATTGTACCTTCTGTAATTGGATTCTTGGCTGCTCATTGCATATGGAATGGTGATGTCAAACAGGTTTGTTTCTTTGCTTATATTTTTTGTTTCTTCATTCTCATATCAATGTTAGTCCATCCTTTTTTATGTTTCTAGTGTTCTTTCAATATTAGTTTCGCTGGAGTATAACTTACTTAGTTTGTATTAAATACTATGTATAATGAAAATATGCAAATTTGATTTATCACGTTTTGAACCCTATCAATGAAACCATAGGATGACCATCATTAATATTGCTTTAAAACTTTGAACAATTTTTTATTAGGAGTCGTGAAAGAGTCACTAATATTGTTGGGAATTTAGTCATTGTGACAAAAGACTAATCTTAAGTCCTATTGACTATTACTTGACAAGATCTTTTGCACCTGTTTTCTACTATCTATATATACCTTTAACTAGATTGTTGAAAATCGTTTTCACATTTAAAGGTGTTCATGTTTAGTTTATGAATACCAGCAATTTAAGAAAACCCACGCAGAAGATGAACTTTGTTTTCTACCTTCTAAACGAAACTTTGCTTTGTTATGAACAGTTTTAAAAGCTTCGTGCAATATGTTTTTGTTACAGTGTATTATGACTGTTTTGAAAGTATTGGATATATGAATGTTATTTTATTTAGTAGTTAAAACTTGAAGATGGTTAGGATTTATGCGTACCATGTATTCTAACAGTTTTTCATACTCTATCAATGCAGTTGTTGGAGTTCGATGAGTCAAAGACTGCCAATTCACCTCAAGAGGATGACAAGTCCAGCAAAAAGGTTGAATAAGTTGATGCATGCCCAATACCAATACTTCCTAGTCAGAGAAGAAATACTGTTTTTTTTTTCTTCTGAAAACACCGTTACATTTAAAGCTAACTTATTCAGCAGCACCTCTGTAACTGATTGTGATTTTAAAAAAAAAATGTATTAGTTTTATCTTTCAAATTGGCATTTTGCTTTTACTGCCTGTTTACTTTGGGTTTCCATGGCAAACTTTCTGTTATCGGCACACATGCTTTTTTTTGGTGTTTATCTCTACCTAACTAATTTTGATGTTTATCTATATTGAAATTGCACCCATCACAGTCATAATCAGCCTAAGTTTGAAAATGACATTTCAGTGGTGTTCTGTAAATAATTATAAAATCCAGTATCTAGTTAATATTCAGTAGGATCTGCAATTTTTAGTTTGTTTCACGAATTTGTTTACTTGTAGTAAGTAGTACAAAATAATTTTGAATGGTGCATTACCATTGTTTAGTTATAAGTAGCTTATATCCCATATATTAGTCAAACTATTAACGATGATGCGTTTTCAGATAGTCTACAAACCATATTTGTTCACTGAGTAAGAATATAATTTTAGCAGTCAATTTAATCTGTAAGTTGTTGTTTCCTAAGCGTAAAATTAGTCTTGCAATTGTAGGAAATATTTTTGTTTTTTTCACCATTTTAGTACATTTGTTTTTTCCTGAAACTATTGTAATGAGATAGTTTAAAAAGTTTTACGCACATTGATAAAGATTTTTTGCATAGCCAATTTATTAGGAAGAAGTTATGCGTTATGCATGTATTACACAAACAAAAGTGAAGTTGTATTGATTTTACACTTTTTTTTTGTTAGAATAAGTTATGTATATGTCAAACTATGACTTTGGTTAAGTTTAATTATATATATATACATTGAAGTCGTATCAGAGTTTGTGCAATGCATAACTTTTTAATAATGAATTCCTTATGTAAGCATGATTTATCCATATGTTTAAATTTTTTAAAATATATCTATTACAGTAATTTTTGTGAAAAAATTACACTAATATGGTAAAAAGAATCAAATTTTTTCATACTGCATTGAAAACCTCTTTTTTTTGCTGTCAAAGAATTATTTGCATACTGCTACCTTTTAATCACTTTTGCTAACATTTTTTATTTTATTCAATTTTCATCCTCAACAATTAAGTTCATGATTGAATTAAAAATTGTAAATTTAAGCGAAAGATGAATTTCCGTTTTAGGACCAAGTTTGCAAAAGGCTAATCATTTTTCTTAAAAAAATATAAGATTTTTTGTAAAGTGTTCTTTTAAGAGTTGTTAATTACATTACAAAAATATGTTTAAAATTGTTACTTTTTTTTATTGGGCAAACAAGTACAATAAATGAGTTTGTTTCCTTTCTCAACTTATTTTCAGTCAAATATCTATACTATCTTTTAACCTAAGTAAACAATGAAGACTAAGAGTTTTCAGGAGTATTTTGGAACACAGATTTATGCACCAAATCACATTGCTCAAATGATAATGTGATACAATGAGTCAAAGTTGAATCTCTCACTTAAGAATTTTTGTCGTTTAGGCATTGCAAACAAGATAAATGTTACATCAATTCTTTTTTCCTTTAAAGTTAGTATCACTTAAGTAATATGAATTCATTTAAGTGGTATGAGTTGTCACTTAAAGTAGAGAGAGTTTTTCTCTATTTAGTGAATAAATGTCTTTTAGGTTAAATAGTTTCACTCAAGGGACATATCCCTTATTATTATGGAATATTGAAGTTAAGATCTGTGATTTATATATACATATTTAGACATGTCTATGTATATATAAATGCATACAAAATTGATATATGTGATGAAGCATAATGGATATATGAGATGTTGTATACTAAATAAATGTCTAAAATAATATTGCATCAAAGAAGTGAGTTATAATACTTTTATTCTTGAGGTTTTTGCATTAAATTTTGTAAAGTATAAGGAACCATCCTATTGAGTGAACTTAAGTTGAATTACTAATGTTTCGTATTTATAGATTAGATGATAATTTTTGGTAAAATATATCTAATACAAGTCTCTTTAGATATATTGAGTGTGACAAATCATGATATCATAAGTTATACTATAAAAATCCTTATAATTTTGAATTTTGAATATGATTAAATTTATTGAGATGATTCACTAGAATAAGAATATATGTGATTAATGACAATTGTAATATGATGATGTAATTGATACATATTATTAATATTTTATTATAAAAGATATAAATGTTTTAAATTTTTTTTCTTTGTATTAAATGTTACAATATTACAATAATCATATTTACGAGGGTAAATGATTTTATTGGTAAAAATATCAATACCAGACAAAATAAGTACAATAGTAATTTATTTATACTTATTTGAAATTTTATACATATTTTGAGAATGTAATGTTTCAGAATAACAATATATAATATGTATAT